TCACAAAAATTCAAATTAAAAACTTATACTTAAAAGAGCGCGAAATGTGTGTAAATTTTGCCTCAAATTTGTTGGCTTCAAATGAAACCGATTTGTTGTGAACTAATTGTATGATTATTTGGATTTTCGTGAAAATGCTTTGAAAGACAACTTGCGGTGACTTATCATCGCTTATCTCTATATCGTATGAACTGTTGTTGTATTCAAACATACATTTAAAAGGTTCACTCATTTGCCACAATTATATTACTAGTATATAGTAATTATCATAATATGTGAACACATTATAACCACATTTAATGGCATGTATTTAGTTACAAACTAATTGTAAACACGTTTAACGCGTTAAACTCATTGACAGTGACGCAATGCTATTATAAAACACACACAACTGCTGTTTATTATAGCATTTTATAGCTTTAAATAAACTGCAAACAAATTACTGATAACTAGTGAATCACTTTTGTATACAATCTATGAGTGAAATGTATATGAAAATTAATTTCAATTCATATTTAATCATATTTTCCGTTTGATTGCAAAATTCATACTTGTTTCATCACTCAATATGTCAAATATGACCACAAATAATGTCTTAATAAACTGTCCAATAGTCAAACCCTAACGCATTTCTCATACCATTTTCAATGGGCTTTTCGCACATATTTCCCCCATTTATGACATAATTGATGGCAAAAGTATTGCATTGAGTTTTCGCTGACACACTGACAGCCAATAAAAGGGTTTTATTTTCATTGAGTTTTTGTAAACAAAAAGTGATTTAAAATTAATGTTTAGTTTAATTTGGTTTGAAATGAAAGTAATTATGTTTTGTTTTCATTGAAACAAAAGCCCAAAAATGGGCGACAGATGTGTTCGCCGAAGAAGTGAGAGATTACTCCACAAACGGCACGAAGAAGTGGCGGCCGAAGAGGTGGTGTCCGCCAGTCATAAGACATCGCAATCGGTGTCCAAACGAGTGTCGAAACGGACTCCAAACAAAAGACAATTCGTTTGCGAGAAGTGCTTAACGGCTGAAGAGTTTTCACAGCATTTCAGACGACAATCAAAACCGAAACAGTGTTTCGATTCAGTGCTCCAGAAGTCGATCACTGTTTGCAGACATTGCGCCAAACGGATGACCACATCGACGCCCACCACCGCTGCCGCCGCAGACAACTCGTCCAAAATGGCGGCCATTGAGGACAACAAGAAGAAGTATTTGTCGAGTTGTCACTCATTTGGTCACTCTTTGGCGCAACTGCTGAACGACTCGTCGGCCGAACGGCTCTACTGTCCGAATGTGAAGACATCGGGCAATGCGTGCGCTTGTCTTCAGCGGTATGTCATCGGAATGGATGACAACATGAGCGACAAGAAGGAGAGGGCGCGGCATCTGTTGGAACTGTTGACGAGAGGGCGCCGACTGAGTGAACAGAAGTCCTATTCGGTGGTCAATGTGTCGAAAACGGGTCAGAAGATTGGTTTAGGCAATGGACACAAGAAGAGCAAAGAGTTCGAGACATTTGTGTCTGAGAGCCGACGATACCTGAGGAATGAGTTGCAGTTCTGCGAGAAAGCCGCACAACGAGTGCTCTTCTATTCAAACAACTTCTTGCATAAGAGGCTGAAGACGGAGCCAAACGGCGGCCGACGGGTGTCGCGCGTCAGGGGAAAGGCGGCCACCGGTCGGCTGCTGGCCATCGACGCCATCGCCCAAGAGGTCTGTTGTGGCAATGGATGCGTGCGTTTGTCTCAAACACATCCGCAACTGTTGGACACATGGAGGCAGAGGGCGACCGGTGGGCAACAGGAGGCACGCCGTGTGTTGGCCGAGATGTTGACCCCCACTCAGGCCGTGCGCACCAATTGCTTCAAATTCATACAACTGGTCACCGGATGTAGTCATCGAACCGTCGCTAAAGTGGATCAATACATGCGCTCCAATGGCGGTCTCCAAGAGCCCGGCGAACACGGGCTCAAGAAGTTCTGGTTCGCAGTCAACGATAAAAAGCAAACCAATGGTCAGACAAACGAGTTGACGGCCAATGAGGCGATGGATACGCGCGACGAAGAAGTTGCCGACAATTCAGCGACGGATGAGTTGTCTGTAACGCTGGCAGACATTCCTCAGGAGATTAGTTTCGAGACAAACGATGGCAACGGTAACCAAACGATACATCTATTGGTCGACAAAAGCAATGCCGAGATTTCGGTCATCAATGGCGGCAGACATGAGACCATGATTGCGATATTGAGTCCACAAATCGACTTCTTCGCCAACGAACACACCATTCAAATACCCGTTTCCATCGGTTCCCTGCAATTCATGTCCAACTAATCCATAGGAATGTGAAGTCTGTGTCAAAACCCTGCGGCCACACCCTTGGACTACAGTGGGGAACGGTATGGGACAGGGATCTACAACAACTCTTACCAGGGATAGTTTTGTACTGTACTTTGTAATACATATATAATAATAGAAAACTGTATAGTAATGTATATTTTTACAAGTTGTATTATAATCTAGTTAAAATCTATTTAAAAATAAATGATTTAATGGATGATTACAAATAAATTGTTGATTACCTCAAGTGGTGGGTGTGTTGAGCTACCACTTAACTGCTCCATCACTTGGGGTTTCATTAATTAACTNAGTTGGGATAACGTAAGGCATTCATATTGGCTCTCATTTTCATCTGATTCTCGAAAGTCTTCGCAACGAACTCTTGCAGCAGTCGGGCGCCAATCAGTTGGTCACTGGTTATCGGCAACACATTAGATCCATTGACACCGTTATCACTTACGGCAACACCATTGCCATCAGCTGATGGTTGAACCGACTCTTCAGTGGCTATCAAATCGTTTTCATCGCTGGTTTGTGTCACCGAATCGTTGGACACATCCATGTCTTCATTCACGTTACCACTCATTTGGTAAGCGTCTCGGTCTTCAGTGGGACCCTCAGGTGATGGCTCTTCACTCTTGACAACCAGTTGACATGAATTTGAATCCATAACTACTACCTGAAGACACCGATGACTATTGGGATCAGATTTGGACACAAATCAACTCAACCGCCAATACCTCTTTACCTGTGATTGTTTGCCACCACTTTGTGGGTCAACTGTGCGTTCATTCACTCAAACGAAATGGTTTTCAATGGAGATGTCCAGCGATTATCACCGAAAGGATCACTCGAAACACATTGAAAGCCACCAAAAGACAACTCAAAGCCGACCAATGCTTACAAACAAAAACTATTACGAGTTGTTCACAAACAATATGACTATAAATAAAGGCTTGGAAACCAGGGGGCAATTGTTTATTTGCCCCTCAACTATCCGTATGTCAAACATATTTAATAACAGTACTTTGAAAAATAATTATTTTTTAAATTAATTAATTTGCCATTTATGATTTTATATTTGAAATCTTTATTTGACATGTATTTTACTTGTAAATGTTTTTGAAGTGATTTACAAACTTGTAATATTGCAATAACTAAACTCCATACCGGTAATAAGTTATGATATATAAATACAATAGAATATTCCTTAACAAATTCTACGGTAAATCCCTGCACTAAATCTAAATTTTAGATTTCAGTGTTTTTATTGGTTACAAACATTTTTTTATCAATTTATTTGAATCATTATTACAATTGAATTGTGCACTCATTTGTGCCCGGATTTGGTCTTTACTCTTACGCCTCTCCAACCGAAGCCTTTCATTCCTATCCCTTCGCCTCCTCTTCTTATTCTTCTTTTTCTTGTTGTGATAACCAATTGATTCACTCGTTTTTGATGTATTAGTAGTGGGTTTGTGAACATCAATGGCAACTGGATTTGCATTACAATCCGCACCACTATTTGCCGGTGAAGTACATGAAACTGATGGTCCACTGCAAGCGCTCTGACTATCACTGAGATCTGAGACTTTGAGGGAAGTGTTTGTCTGAACATAATATTCGTTCAAATCATTTGCACTCAAGAGATGATAATAATTATCGCCATTAATTGTACTGAAAACCTATAAAAATGTCACAAAAATTCAAATTAAAAACTTATACTTAAAAGAGCGCGAAATGTGTGTAAATTTTGCCTCAAATTTGTTGGCTTCAAATGAAACCGATTTGTTGTGAACTAATTGTATGATTATTTGGATTTT